CGGGGGGTGCCATCGACACGGGTCGTGGGCTTGCCGCCCAGCGAGACGGTGGCGGGCGCCGACGGCAGGCCCCGGCGTCGCTCTTCTTGTTCTTTCTAAACTTCAAGCCCAGGGACACGCTCTCGCCCGGCGTCGCCGTAGTCGGGCTTGGCGAGCGCACCCGAGGCATCGGCGACCAGGCCCACTGAGTACGGCCTCCCTGGCGAGAGCCTGGTCTTTCGGTCAAGGCGCCAGCGGATCCGCCTTCCTGGGCGCGCAGCTGGCCGCCCGGTCGCAGGGCCTCGGCGACCTGGCCGAAGAGGGCGCGATTGTTGAGCAGGAGCGGGGTGGACTCGGCACGGGAGCCGTCGGCGTCGGAGAGGATGAGTATGAGGTCGTAGGTGGCTTCGGGGAGGGTGATGAGACCAGCAGACAGGCGGTCAAGCATTTGAAGGTCGGTGGTGGCACGGGGGTGCGAGGCGAGGACGGCGGCGAGGGCCGCAGGGTGGGAGGCTACGCTGGGAGGCGCGAGCAGGAGAGAGCGCTTCGACGAGGCGCCATTCTGGAAGGGCTGTGTCGCGGTTGTCGTGGGAGAGGTGAAGTCAAAGTCGGAAGTGTTGTCAATGGTGACGAACGAGGGAGCCATGGCAAGGGTGGCGTTCACGAGGAACGGCTTTTTTTCCCCCGTCCTTTCCTGGTAGTGATTGGATCGACGCGGGGTCGCAGCTTGACGGGAGTGAATGATTGCAAAAGCTTGATGAGGGCAAAGGTGTCCGAACAGATGATGGGATCGCAAACGACGTCTAAAGTATGAGAGGCAGTAGACGAGGGTTTTGTGCGGTCTTTGGGCAGAGATGTTCTAGACTGTAGGAGAATTAGTCAAGGGCGGCGACCAAGACCCGACACGGTGCAAGAGTGCACAACTGAAAAAGTATGGGTTTGTCAGGGTGGGGTCGCTGGCCGACGACAGTTGAGGGTCAAGGTTAAGGAAGGTGGGATGTGAGGGGCAGGCGCGACAGTGTGTCCACGGAAGGAGGGCACGGTGGGTGGTACCTGCCTCGATACACTTTTTGCAGGAACTTTCCGCGGGGTTGCAACTTCCATGTGCCACCCCCCTTTGGTGCCAAGTGCCTACCAAACTCGCAATCCCGTCTTTATCAGGTCGCCTTACCTTATCGCGTGACATCGCTGACCAGAGCCTCGGCAACGGAGACGGCATCGGGCCCCTGTGCCATCATGAACACCTCGCTGGCCCTCTGGACAAATCCCGCGTCACCAATGAATGGCGGTGCTGACCTTTGCCTCGAGTATTGTTTATCGGCACCGAGTCATTGGTTCAAAATCCTGGGGTCACGACCCTGCGATCGGGGTCCGCTCCGCGGCTCTGACATCAATCCCCATCTCCCAGTGCTGCCGGTATCGGCGTTGATGGATACCCTGCACCCTCGCCGTCATTGTCGCCCTCGACATGAACGGGCGCTCGATACCCTTCTTGGCATTGAACATTAAACTGTGATGGACTGATTGGGACGAATACGGCAACTGCCAAGCATCACGAAGACACCCTCATGCTCGTCTCTGGTCAAAAGATATTTGTGGCCGTAATTGGCCGGAGTGAATTCTCCCGTCTTGCCCCCCCCAAAAAGAGTTGATTCGCCATGCCCACGCACGCACGCACACATAATATGATGCCTATGTCTACAGCTTGAAGTTGTTGCTCGACAGCTTGGCCTCTGCCTTGGCCTTGTTGCCAGCCATGTCGACAACCTCGCCCTTGCGGTTGATGACCTTGACGCCGCCCTTCTTCAGGTCTGCCATGGTCTCCTTCTGCATCTGCGCCCGCCGGCTGACGGGTTTCTTGCCGTCGGCCCGCACCGCGTCCGCGCCGCCCGCCTTGCGGATCCTCTCCTTCTCCCGCCTGCGCCGGCGCTGCTTGTCCTCGCGCGTCATCTCGCCGCGCGCCACCGGCAGGCCGCTCTTGGCGACGACCTCGCCCTTCTCCACATTGTCCTTGCTGCCGCCCGCCTTGTATACCTCTTGCGGCGCAGCGTGCTGTCGCCGCCAATGACGCCCTGCGCCGTCGCCGGCTGCGCGTCCTCCATCGAGATGGTCGCCGTGTCGGCGACCACGGTGAGGGACGGCTCCGACGGCCGCGGCCGGTAGTTCCAGCTGCTGAGGGCGTCGAGCGTGCTGTTGAGGTCCTTCCACATGCGCTCCACCTCGGCCTCTTCCTGCGCAGCTTCTCGGAAT